TGTGCTCATATACTATTTTAGGCTAAGGCCACTTCACAACTTTAATTTATTATAGGAGTCATGATTCTTCACACTGGATTAGCGAGTCAAGCTCAACTAATGAAGAAGTTCTCTGTTGGATGAGTAGAACCCCCACCTAATGGATCACCAAGTAGTTCATAGATTCCCGCACATACATTTTTACCCAAATAGCTATTAGCCTCAGCAAGTACCACATGACTCTAAAATCTTTCACTTACGACATACCTCGCCTCCATTCAATCTAGGTTAGACCTAGAGTTCTTCTAGGGAGACTTATCACTTGTTCTTTCTTCTTTTAACACAATACAAATATACCCATAAATATTGAATTAGAACAACATAATTATCACCAACATGGTAACACTCAGCAGCATAGTGATGGGTATGAACACCCCACCTATTATCATTCAACAAACAATGTCTCAAAATAATAAACACATTAGTGTTGTACTTTTCTGATTGTAGCGGTATTGGTATCACCGCACGGTAGCTCAATACCGTTACTCGGTAGTTGAGTACTATCTGACATATAGGCCAGGCAGAATACTTTGGCTTTTGGCGGTAGCTCACTACATTCAAGAGGTAAAGAAGTACTGTCCAGTACCTTGGTTGGAACTATGTATATGCGTGTGATAGTACCACGGTACTAGCAAACGGTATCGACATACCATCTGATGTAGTAAAAGCCTAGTGCGATCAGACAAGTCATTAACAGAGTGTTTTGAATCCAAATTTGCAAGTTATACATACCAATCAATAACACTATGATTCGCAACATCAAACAACATAATCAAACAAAAATTAACACCTAATTTATGCAATCCACCCTCTTGATTCAACAGTAACTCCCAAAATACCCAATCGTGCAACCCATACAAGTTTTTCACATAGCTCAATTATGTAAAGATTACGGATGTGAATTTCAAACCTAGATACATGTTTCATCATAAGATATCCATGTACTCAACTCGAATTTGATGAAGACTAAACAATAATCAACAAAGAACTGTAAACATTGATGAAGAGGGCGAGATGGCAACACGAATGTGGTTTCGATTGCTGATATTCTTCGTTCTTCTACTTCTTCTTCTTCTTCTTTTTCGCATCGAAAAGAGATACAAGAGAGGTCGTGAGTCAAGAGTGGGTGCAACGTGCGAAAGTTGCACATACAGAGTATATTTATGTGTAGGGTTTCATGCTCGTAACTAATTAACGTACTATGGTAAAATATTCTTTTCGGACCAACTTGCTCTGTATTGGAATTTGATTTCACTGTTGGACTTGGTCCACTCGTCTCTACACGATGATATGAATTTCATAATTAATTGAGAAGTATTTATAATTTACTCTGGGCCTGTTGCAATAACTATTTAATTATTTCTAACTAATAATTAATTTATATAGGTCGGGTTTCGAGGCATTACAAAATCTTTGAATAAGAAGTTGAAAGAGATGACTCCATTTGTTGTGGTTAGGTTCAAAGATGCTTAATTGAATTAGTATATGAAGCTTAATATTTGAGATTGTAGTAAAGGAAAGGTGAGAAGAATTGGATCGGATGTGGGGATAGTGGACGAGTATTTGATCCATTTATCTGAAGCCATAATTGAGAAGAAGAGAGAGAGAGAGTCGATCAACGGTAATAGGGGGAGAAGGGGGTGAGTGACATTATGGTAGGGAGAAGAAGACTAAAGTAGGAGTAAAACATTGCAAATATACCAAAATAAGAGTTCCATGTTTTTATTTTTGAAATAAGAGTTAAAATATATCACCTTGGTTTACATGACATTGGTTCAAAATTTGACTCCAAAGTCAAAATCAACTTGGGGGTGAAATTGAAGGGGGTGGGGGGGCGCGTTCAGGTCGGGGCGTGGTGGGGGGNCCGTCAATTTTACGAACGGGGCACCGGAGCACCCCCGGGTCATCCCATGACATTGGTTCTCAATGTCATTTAAACCGGCCTCAAAATATATTTACATTACCAATCATGACCATGTACATTACGTAAACTGTACATGTATAGTGCAACATTACCATAGTGCGAACTCCTACTTAGAAAATAAAAATATGGAACTTCTATTTTGATACTTTTTCTATATTTAAGTCATATTTAGAATGATTTCTTGAATATTAATGGACATGATACCATGACGGAAAATATTTCTGAATGATTCAATAATGAGGAGTTACATGGTTACTTATATACATGAATCCTATTCAGGGTACAAATTGAATAAGCTTATTATAATAAATTCAATTATCCTTGTATCCCAATGTTTACACGTTACGTAAAACGGAGCAGAAGTTCTAGTTTTTTAAATTTATTTTATTTAAAGATTGATATAAAAATTAAAAATAAAATATACGCATTTAAAAATTACATTAAAAATGTTACAAAACAAGAGATGACAAGAATATTTTATTTAATCAAATAACTAACAATTAAAATGCACAAATAAATAAAAAGTTTTGTGACTTTTGAATAGTTAAGAATGTAATTTTTTTACATAGGAGGTAGGATTTCTTTAACCCTTATTTCTCTACTTTTCCTCCTAAGACATTATATTATTTCACCCGAGTTTATTGCACCATGGCATCTTGTAGTTTGGTAAATGTGCACCATTGTCCTGCTAGGGTTTCAAAACTTACGCCGTTGCCTCTCATGCTTCAGATATTATTAAACCAATGTCTCTCTAGACTAAAATATCCTTCATATATTATGTGAAAAATTTCTCTACCCCATATGGTTTTGAAAATTGGCACAAATGCCCCCTCTTTTCTTTATTGTTTTTATTTTTTCTACTATTTTTCATGAATGTTTTTCAATTTATTTTTTAAAATTACTTTTTATAATGTTTTAATAATCAAATTTTTTTTATGTTTACAATAAAAATCAATTAAACAACAAGAATCAACGTACACCTTTATTTATCTTTATTGGTTTTTTTATAATACAAAAATCAATGAAATATTTCTTTTTTTTGCTAAAGCTCATTTCTCATTTTATGTTCTTTAATTTTATGCCGTTTATTTTAATTAAATGAAAAATAAAATAAAAGAAAAAAGAATATAAAGGAAAATAAAGAAAAAGAAAAGTATATGAAACAAATACTTTTATAGAATAAGGAAAATTAAGTCATGAAGGAAAATTTTTGTGTATTATTCCAGAAAATATTATTAATATATAATTAACTATTTATTAAAAATATGTTACACGGTATTCTTTTGGTCCCGACATATTTAAAAAGTTAAATGTTTTATTTCAAACACAAACATTTTCTTCTTTTTACGAAAAAAGAAAATAAAAAATAAAAACAATAAAGAAAAATGAGAGGGGGCGTTGGTGCCCATTTCCAAAAAACATAGGTGGCTGCGGAGTTATTTACCTAATATTTTAAGAATATCTTTGTCTAGGAGAAGGTATATGGTACAACCAGGTGTACGATACATCCGGGTAGTACTCATTCTGAAGTAGAGTAGTACTCATTCTCGCACAAATATAATTAGCATGGTACTCATTCTAAAATAATGTAGTACTCATTTTCACACATTGGTTCAATATAATTATAATATTCATCTACAAATAATGTAGTACTCATTCTGAAACAAAACAGTACTTATTCTCAAATAATGTAGTATTCATTCTCATTCAAAATAAAATCCGTACCATAAATAATTTCTTGGTTGTACCCAAAATTGGGTACTACCGGATGTATAATATAATTTTTCTTTTGTCTAAAGGGATTTTGACAATGCAATATCAAAACCATAAAAAATAACGACATAAATTTTAAAATTATGAGAGATAACGTTGTACATTTACCAAAGCACATCAACTTTAGTCCAATAAACCCTATTTCACCCCTACCGGTTGCATGCCTCACCGCCGCCACCAATAGCACCAATTCACCGCAATACTATTCACTCCCTCATCAAAAAAATCCCTCGAAAACAGTTCAATTTTGTTAAAACTTAAAAAGTAGCAAAATAAAGTAGTCCTAAACTAAGACAAATTTTCATTTTTTATGGTCAAGCTATGCATGCTTTGTCCAAAAACTATAAAAAATGCATATTTAGTTACGGAGTATAATATAAATTTAATATAATTAATTTTTTTCAGGATATAACTTTGATATATCATTTTTAAAATAAATCATCCAAATATAAGTAAAATATAGCTTTTAACCTTAAAATAAGAGTTCTATATGTTTATCTCTAAAATAGGAATTTGAACTATGACATTATGACATTGTATGGTGAAATCTCACTGCATTTTTTGGCATTATATATTGTTATAGTTTACATGTTTTGTACTCCTATATATTATGGGGATAAAAAATATTCAACTCTTATTTCGTAACTTTCTTCAAATATATAATCTACTTCTAATTTAGTCATTTTCCCAAGCTTTAAAAAATAATCTCACTTTTCATTATTACGCATAATAATCTCAATTTTTCACATGTATGCGAGCCTTGGATGACTGCTACAAAGCCAACAGTCACTTAAATAATTGCTATTGAAAAGGCTTGTTTTTTTGTAAATAAGCGAAAGGTGCGATTATTTTAGTTAATTTCTCTTTTTGTTAGCATATTTATGTATATACGTAGTATATTGTACTCCCTCCGTCCTATAATGATCTTCCTAGTTCGCAAAACGAAGAAAAATCTCAAGTTTTTTCAATCGATTTTATTTAAATATTGGTATAGAAATAAAAAATAAAACATACATATTTAAAAACTACACAAAAAGTTCAACAAAACAAGTGGTGACAAGAATATTTTATTTTATCATATAGGCCATGAAAAAACACAAATAAATATAAATTCCCGTGAAGTTGGAATAGTGCTTTGAGAAGATCATTATAGGACGGAGGGAGTATTCTTTATGTATTTGTGTTTGGGACTTCTCATTTGTATCACCACCGGGACTCTTTGTTTGTATCGCTCATGTATATTTATATGAGCTTATGTATCAATGAAACTCAACCAATTTCATTCCCAAAATTCTACATGGCATCAGGGTGTCTTTCTTGGGATTTTTCTTAAACCTAGTTTGTTTGTTCCTGTTCCGATTGTCTGTACCAATCGCGTATTGCCGGCCAAAGTTCCAAATTGTCGGCCCAATCTCGTGTCGCCGGCTCCATTTGTCGAAGTCTTGCAGAAAATAGACGGATGCACTCCAGCAGCCGTCTCTGAAGAATTCGTCCAGCCGCCGTTGCAGAAGCTCATCCAGTCGCTGGTTCCCAAATTCGACAGCCCGTCTCCGTCTCTCTCACCGCCGATCGCAGGCCTCCATCCGGTAGCACGCCGGATCGCAGAAGCTCGGTCGCAGGAGAATTCATCCATCATGTCGCAGAAGCTTGGTCGCAGGCCTCTTTCCGGTCGCACGCCGGATCGCCTCCCTCAGCCAGCCGGTCCCTTATCTTTATCTGTTTGCAGTATTTGTGAAGTCCAGAGATTACATTTGTTTCTGTTTGTCCGTTTGCAAAAAAAAGGTGTGGGGGTGCTACTGCTTTGAAAGGGTTTTGTTTGGTGTCAAACATCACCATCACATTGATATACCAATATGACTTTTACCGCGTGTGAATGGTTGATTGATAGTGGCGCCTCTCATCACATGACGGGGACCCTGTCTCATTTATTCCATATTGAGGATGTGACTCCTGACTCAATTTGTCTCCCGGATGGTTCTCGTATCCAGGCAAGCAAAAAGGGAAGTGTGTGTGTTAGACAGTAGTCCTATTCCTAGTTGTACTTGTATTGTCTCTCTATATATACATTACCATGTACCCTATTGTAAAGTGTGAAATACAATTATTCAATTGTGTCAATATGGTATCGGAGCATAGTTTCCAAAAACCCTAAATCTCGTTGGCTTCATCGCCGCCCCCTTCCCGTCAAATTTTTTTTCTTCTTCCTCTGTGCCGCTGTTCTTACTGGAGTAATTATCTACGTCACTAGAGTAATTTTCTCTTGTCCCTGTCCTGTGCCGCTGATTCTTCATCATGGCAAAAGGTACCCATGATCCATTTGATGCCTTACCTGGTGGCCTAAAGCTCTTTCTTCGCAACCTTCATGCCTTAATTCCTACCAAATTGGAGGATCACAATTATCCTGCCTGGTCGTCCATAGTCCGGGCCACGCTTGTTGCTCATCGGTTGTTCGAATTTGTTGATTGTACTGCACAGCCACCGCCTCCAACAATTGTCGACGAAAAGGCTCCAGTGGCTGCCGATGGAGTTCCGGTTCTCAAACCCAATCCGGCTTATGAGCAGTGGACTATTCTTGACGCTCAACTCCGTGCTGCTCTTCTTGCCACACTATCTCCCTCAGTTCAGAATCTTGTTCATCTATGCCCTACTACTGCCGCCATCTGGGATCACCTTCATCAATGGTATAATTCTCTTTCTCGCACGCATATCTTTCAACTCAAAGAGCAACTTCACAATTTACGTAAGGGAGAATTGTCTATGCAAGCATATCTTGACGAGGCTCTCAAAATTGTCACTGCACTTTCTCTTGCACAAGAGCCTGTCCCCGAACAAGATCTTATTCTCAATGTCCTACGTGGTCTTCCTTCGGAGTATGCATCCCTCAAACAAAATGTTCGAACAAACATTACTGATCTCACGTTCAACAAGGTCTCGTCCTGGCTTCTTTCTGAAGAGCTCAATGTTCAACTAGAACACAAACTACAGATTGGTACCCCTTCCACGTCCAACACAGATGTTCATACCGCTCTCTATACTCATAATCGTGGAGGAGGATCACGTGGGCGTGGGCGAGGAAGACTGCCCAGTTTCCGAGGAGGACGCATCAGTGGTAGTGGGGGCCGAACCTCTTCTGACCGTAACATTGGCCGAGGTCATAGCAGTGGTCCATATAATCCTTTACTTATTTGTCAAATTTGTGGCAGGTCTAATCATGGAGCGTGGCAGTGTTGGGATCGTTATAATGAAGACGTCAATGGCCCTCCTCAACGAACGAACAATCAAGCGTTGTACACTGTATCCCCTATAGACTCTAATCAGGATTGGCACTTAGACTCGGGTGCAAGTACTCATGTTACGTCTGATTTATCAAGACTCCAAAATCCTATTCCTTATCACGGTCAAAATTCTGTTTTCACTGCTGGGGGACAATCCCTTCCGATTTCACATGTTGGCTCAGGTCAGGTGTCCACTCCCACAGGTACTTTTACCATATCTAACCTCCTTCATGTTCCCCATTTAAAAACCCACCTCTTATATGTCCACCAATTTACCAAAGAAAATAACTGCTCTCTTCTTTTTAATTCAAAGGAATTTATGATCCTAGACAACCATACCAACCAAGTGACATACAGAGGCCCATGTGAGCAGGGACTGTACACCTTACCCGCCACTCCTTCGTTTTCGTCCATTGTGTATGCTGCAGCTCCGCTGATGACTCGTGCTTTGAAGACCACAACTCATCAGTGGCACTGTCGGCTTGGTCATCCATCTCTTGAAGTTAAAAAATCTTTACTCTCTTAGTTAGGTTTTCGTGTAGTGTCTAGTGCCTTTCATTGTGATTCATGTTGTATGTCAAAGTCTCATAAATTATCTTTTCCATTATCCACTACTGTTACTACCGCTCCTTTTCAATTAATACATTCTGATGTTTGGGGTCCTACTTTTGTCTCTTCCTTTGGTGGTTATCATTTTATATCAATTTTGTGGATGATTTTACTAAATACTGTTGGATTTATCCACTTAAACATAAATCTAAAGCCTTTAATGCTTTTCAAAGTTTTCAATCCGTGATAAAAACTCAGTTTGGTCAGCCCCTCAAACCCATTCGAACTGATAATGGTCGTGAATATGTCAACCATAAATTTGGTCTTTTTTTACAAAGCTTAGGAATTCTCCACCAAAAGTCATGTTCATATACTCCTGAACAAAATGGGGTTGCTGAACAAAAACATAGACATCTCATCGAGACTCTTGTCACGCTTCTTTACACCTCTTCCCTTCCCATGACCTTTTGGGTAGAGGCTCTTGCCACTGCAAACTATCTTATTAATCGCATGCCCAAGCGTTCCCTCCGTTACAAATCCCCATATGAGCTCCTCTACGGACACCCACCCAACTACTCTCACCTTTGTGTATTTGGCTGCCTTGCTTATCCACATCTTTGGCATGAAATAGATCACAAACTTCAACCCCGTTCCAAACGGTGTATATTTCTTGGGTATGAGTCTCTCTCCAAAGGATATTGTTGCTATGACCCCTCAACTCGTCGGGTGTACATCTCTCGTCATGTCCAGTTCAATGAGTCCGAGTTCCCGTACTCTAACTCTGGTCTGCAATCTCGTCCCCCCTCCGAACCCTCCTATTTCGGCGTCATACCTCTTTTTCCCAATTTCCAGGTGTCTCTAGTCTCTGCTCATGTAGACCCGTTGTTTACCCAACACCCTATACCCACCCCGAATACCCTGCCCGAAAATATTCCCTCCTTTACGCCCAACCCTGGTCAAACAACCCTCCCCACACACCTACCCACTAATCCCGTACCCATGCCCAGCCCAGAAACCCTACCCGGCACTACTCCCCACTACAGTCAAACCACACTACCCACAACACTACACCCGCCACCCCCGCCACCACCCCATCATCCCATGACCACTCGATCCAAGAGTGGCATCTTCAAACCCAAAATCTTTACCACTACTCTGTCCACTATCCCTCCGGATACTGAGCCCAACACTTTTCAGGAAGCACCTAAAAACATTTTTTGGCATCGTGCTATGGATGAGGAGTTTGATGCTTTGATTAAACAGCACACATAGGTACTTGTGCCTCGACCTCTAGGTCGAATTCTGATTGGGTGTAAATGGGTATATAGGGTCAAACGCAATGCTGATGGTTCTATTGATCGATACAAAGCTCGCCTTGTTGCCAAAGGTTTTAATCAGGAGTATGGTTTGGACTATTCTGAGACCTTGAGCCCGGTGGTCAAAAAACAAACCATTCGAGTGGTTTTCTCCCTTGCTGTTCGTTGTCAATGGCCTTTGAGACAGCTTGATGTATCTAATGCTTTCTTACATGGTGAGGTCGATAAGGATATCTATATGACTCAGCCTCCCGGCTATGTTGATTTGCAGTTTCCCCATCACGTCTGCAAGCTCACTAAATCCTTGTATGGGTTGAAACAGGCCCCTCGTGCATGGTATTAGCGATTCTCGGCTTTTCTCTATGCCTACGGGTTTCGCAAGAACGAGCACGACACGAGCCTTTTTATTATGCATGGATCTTCAGGGATACTTATCTTGCTTGTTTATGTTGATGATGTTATCGTCACAGGTAGCTCTACTACTCTTGTACAGGGATTCATCGCTTCCATGTGCCGGGAGTTTAACACAAAGGACCTCGGTGATCTTCACTACTTTCTTGGCTTGGATATTGTTCGCACATTGTCTTCTCTTGTTGTGTCCCAGAAGAAATATGCTCTTGAACTCCTTCAACGAGCTGGCTTTGCAGACTGTAACCCTGCTCCCACACCGATTTCTATTCGGCCAAGGACCTCGGAGGGGGAATCTCCTCTCTTTCCAGATCCAACTCTGTTCCGAAGTCTCGTTGGTGGTCTACAATATCTCACAACTACACGGCCTGATATTCAATTTGCTGTCAACTATGTATGCCAACGTATGCATGCCCCGACACATGCTGATTTCCAACACTTAAAACGCATTCTTCGCTTTGTTAAAGGCACCACTGATCATGGTCTTGTGTTTCGGCCTGGTGACTTACAACTTAGAGCATACTCTGACTCTGACTGGGCTAATGATATGTTTGATGGAAGATCGGTCACAGGTTATCTAGTCTACCTTGGGCCAAACTTGGTTTCTTGGAGTACGGAGAAGCAGTCTCGCGTCTCAAGATCGTCCACAGAGGCCGAGTACCATGCTTTGTCTTCGGCTGCAGCGGAGGTGATGTGGCTTACCTATGTATTAACAGATCTCCGTGTTCCTCTCGTTACACCACAACTCTTGTGTGATAATCAATCAGCAATTTGTCTTACCAAAAATGTTGTGTTTCATAAACGAATGAGACATGCGAGTACGGATTGTCACTTTGTTCGAGAACAGGTCATTGCTGGTACTATGGAGGTTTCTCATGTTTTCTCTAAAGATCAACTTGCTGATTTACTCACAAAGCCTCTTCCTTCACCACGTTTTCAGAATCTTGTATCCAAGCTTCCACTCGCTATACACCGTTCAGCTTGAGGGGGGATGTTAGACAGTAGTCCTATTCCTAGTTGTACTTGTATTGTCTCTCTATATATACATTACCATGTACCCTATTGTAAAGTGTGAAATACAATTATTCAATTGTGTCAATAGTGTGCTTATCTCCCAATTTGGTTCTCCACAATGTTTTATATGTCCCTAACTTGCACTGTCATTTGGTTTCTGTTGGTTGTTTGGTTCAAGAAACTACTTGTCATGTTCTTTTTAATGATCAATGTTGTGTAATACAGGACCGATAGTCGAAGATGGAGATTGGACAAGGTGAACTGCGAAACAGAGTGTACGTCTTTGCCTCATACCCAGCGTCGGCCCTTCTTGTCAAGTCAGATTCATTCGTTCTACACCAACGATTGGGTCACCCTTCCTCTGATGTTTTTCCCGTTCTTGGTTACAATAAAACAGGTTCCGTTATCAAAAATTACAAATATGTGAAATTTGTTTTCTGTCCAAGCAAACTCGTTCATCATTTCCCA